CATATTTCAAACAAAGTATGTTTTTAAAATAAAAATTAAAAAAAAATCCCCAAATTTTTTTTTTAAAAATTCCAAATTTTCAGAAAAAAAAAATTCGCGCAAAAAACCTCATAATCGTGTTTCTTGGGTCGAAATATACTACCCTAAAAATATTTGCACTTATTTAAGACTCACCCTGCATATAAAAATGGGAAAAATTGACCAAAACGTAAGGCGAAAAAATACGCCAAAAAAAAACACACTAGCCCCTCCTTACATTGTCACCCACGCCCCTTTGGCAGTTTTTTTTTCTCGAGTGTGATAAAAGTCTTAAGCATCGGTTAGACGAGTCAAGTCAACTAAGGAGCAGACTTTCTAGGCATTTAGTCCATTTTTTCGAATCTGGTCTCGAATTTTAGCAAACAAAGAAAAACTGCCACGTTTTTGGTAAGAAACTTACCGAAAAATTAGTATATCGTCGGTGAAACGTGATAAACTGCTAAGTCCATTATTCCTAATTTTACAGGAGAGCAAAAAAACGGTACAAAAAAATATGTACACATATGGGAAGTATTTTGATGCGTTAATATGATAAAGAGATAAGAATACTATTTGCTAGGGAACAATAAAACTCAATATTTCGTGTTACGTCATTTTTTTCCGACACAATAGGGAGATAGCAGATATTCGTCTTGCAGAAATAAGAAATAAAAATATACTTCTGGAGATAGTAAGGCGAAAAAATACGCCAAAAAAACACACTAGCCCCTCCTTACATTGTCACCCACGCCCCTTTGGCCTAGTGCGACCCTGAATCGACGTACTGTACTAAAAAAACATACGACTAAGAATCTGTGTGTTTGCTTTAGCGTGATCGTAACGAAAATTACGGAGATAGCAGCATTTCGGTGGCTATTTCAGATCACTAGGAGTTAGCAGATATTATTGAGTTAAAATAAAAAAGTTTCTTTAATGGGAAAAAATATCTTTGCTTTCCCTACTTATAGAGTATTTTTTTCTCTTTCTAATGGTATAAAAAAACTTATTAGCGTAAAAAATGGAGTTAGCAGGTTATCACGTTTCACTGACGATATGTACTTGAAAAATGGATAAAAAAAATCATAAAAATAGTACACCAACATTTGAAAAATCTAGCTTTGATAATATCTGAAAAAAATTAAAAGGTGCAGTTTCACGCACCTTCATAGTCAGTTGGATCGCCAACCTCCGAAGGTAGACGGCGACCTAAGAAGAAGAATCCCGTTTATACTTTTCCAAATCTCCATACCGTTTTAGAAAAAAATAAAAAAAAAAACATCAAAATATGGCTGAATTTTTCCAAAAAGTCCTATATATCATTTCGATTTCATTCAAAACTACTTTTTATACAAACCAATTTTATATAATTTTTACTTCAGATGATCCACTGAGAAATTTGTGGCATGGATTCTCAACCCATTGGTTTGTTAACTAGCCACTATTAGTGGTGATACTCCCAGAAGATTGCAGTAATGAACATTCCACAAACGTACAGACATTACTTATGATGCAGATTAAACAAGCAAGTCCTCCTTTGAACGTCCAACCAAACGGCATGCACGAAACAAAATTTACGAAATCTAACCAATCGATCAAATAGCGTTTCGACTTCGACTCGGTCCAAGCGGCGTTTAATTGGTCATTAAAACGCTGTACCCGGTACTACAACACGACGACACGCACGAGATCCCTAATCAATCCGCGGAAAAGAAGAAGAACCACAGATTAAAAAGAAAGCTGAGGATCCTGAGGACGACCACCACGCCAGCGCGCGAAACACCCTGTGTTTTAACAACAAACCGTCCCCCGCTATAAATCTTCATTAAATTTAATTAAATCGGGCGCGAGTGGTACCGGCACGACGAATAACCCGACCGATCGCCACTAATTTATCTGGTACTTTATCGATAAAGTAGGAATGGTTACATACATCGATACATCAAAATATCGATAGGTATAATTTATGAATACATACATCGATAGTGTTTTTTGGCGATATTGTTAGAAATAATTTATTGGTATTAAACCATTTGTTTTCCTATAAACGTCAGTAAAAGTATAGTACTTCCGAAGTCAGTTGAAATACTTTATACCGGGTGCGTCTCAAAAATGGATCACCCTTATAACTTTTTTATTTTTTCAGATAAAAAAAACGAGATTTGGTATGTTAGAATATGACATAAATTAGGATTGATTGACGTATTCAATTGTTTTTGGTCATTTCCTGTTTCACCGGAAATGACTAGAAATTTTGATTTTTAAATGATCCCCTTTGTATATTTCTACTTTATTTGATAAAAAATGACACTCTGAATAGAATGACACATCATATAATATGTCAACTTTTTACATTTTTGCATATAGTTTATTTGAAATTCTAAGACGCGATTCATAACGACAATTTGACTCGAAATACCAAGTGTGTGGTACCAAATTATTCCTAAAAAATGCTTTTTCTAAATATGCTATTGAGCCACACTTGTTCCATTTGCAAAAATTGAGATATGAATTAAAATACGATTTGGGCATCTTTTAAGCGACCTGGACAAGACACGAAAAACATTAGACGATCCAAACTATTTTCCAAGGCTCCTTGGTTAAAAATTAGTGTTTTTAACACAGCCAATTTAAACCATTTTTTTCTAAGCGAAGATGTCAAAAGTTGATATATGATATGTCATTCTATTCAAAGTGTTATTTTTCAATCCCAATTTATGTCATATACTAACAAAACCAAATCTCGTTTCTTTATCTGAAAAAATATAAAAGTTATAGGGGGTGAGCCACACACATTTTTGGGACACATCCGGTATATGCATAAAAAATCGCTTTAATCCCGGGATTTTAAAATCTTATCCCGTTTTTTTTTTCGAGACAAACTTTCCTTCGGGATCCCGGGATTGACATCCCTAGACACAACGTAAGTCCTTTAATTTATTTAAACTGTTTCTTATACAGTTAGCCATAATTTCGCAACTTCAACTTAAACATGAGAAGCTGAACGACCCTGCGTTTGCTTTACTACAAAGTAATAAATGAAAACCTGACAGCTGCAACAAACAACAAATATTTTAGATCACCTCTGGCTTTACTTATTTTTCCATATTACCGCCCCTTGAAATAATATATCGATACTTTATTTAATACATCGAACATCCCTACTGAAAAGGAACCAAAGAAAAAATTCGAACCGTGAAACACGCCCCTGCGACCTCTGGCTAGTGTATGTTTAAGCTGGACCGGCCCTGAAGAAGATGGTAGCGATAGATAGCGAAACGACGGTTCGACAGAATAAACAAAGGTATACGCTTTATGGCCCAAAGGGATGAGACGAGTGGATAAGATTCAGGTAAGGTGAACGAGTTTTGCAAAGTTTAAACCTTAAAGTCTACTGTAAAATACCCTATATCACAAAGAAACGTTATTTAGTAGGTTAGAGTATCACATATTGAACTGAACTGTCTTATATGTCAGTGTCACAAGGGCTTTGAATAAGAAGACTAAGGAAGGAGCATATCAAAAATCTTAGGTACACCGCGATGGGCCTCAAATATGGCCGACTTAAATTCCGGTCTATCAGTGTCGTTCTAATTTTATTTAAAAATGTAAAACTATGATGTAGGGTAGACGTGGGGTAGACTCAATAATTTGCTGTTTTATTTTACGTTGTGAATAAATGTTGGTAGTTATTAAAATTGTTATAAAAATATATAATTCTAATAAAAATAGGTAAGTTATAATAAGTATTTATTAACACAAACATCCGATACGCTACTGAAGAAGGTAAGTCAAATTAACGTATCTAAATTCTTTGACATCTAATCTTTGACAAGTAATAAATAAAAGCTAAAAATGCAAGAAAAATATACAATTTAGTTAATTTAAGTGAATTTCATAAATGATCGGTTTACTACACGTATGTATATTATATAGTCACTTACTAGCGAAAAGTTGTTCCATTATTTCACTCGATTTTTGCCGAGATCTACCGCACGCTACACAACCAACTATTTTAGAGTCTTTTTCGATAAATCGCGATAGTGTCACTGTTAATTTAAGTTCTGCCACAATTTCCATCTAGATTTACTACCTTTATACAACTATCAGTAGTAGAATAAATAATAAATAACATAAAATAAGCTCCGTAAAGACTGACAAATCCACAAAATTTCAAATCAAATTCAAATGTGTCAAATGAATCGTCAAACAGAACTGTCAAGGATCCCCACACTAGAGAGCTTTTTCCGCCCACCATGCATGAATACATGGATAGCATTATGCTCCTTCCTTAGTCTTCTTATTCAAAGTACAAGGGTAACGCAAAAGCCGGGAAAATGGCCAAATAAGACTAATCAATGCCATTTATAGGCCCAAACCCTTCGGCGCTGCAAAAGCAGTTATAAGAATGGCCACAAAACAGTAACTAATCTTTAGAATTGAGGAGAAATTTGGACAGGCGAAAAAGTCAGAAGAGGACCAGCATAGATCTGAAAAGGTCTCAATGGAACAAAAATATAATATAGGCTTTTGCAAGGCGCTACTTTGTTCGCTACTCTAGTTTAATCATCTATCCATTCTTATATGTATATGGGACACCGTGTATAAAATAAAAACAAAGCCTCGTAAACATGATAAATGAAGTAATAAAAAAGGAACATTTTCATAAATTATGAACATTTACATAAATAAATCGTTATATTATTTAAAACAAAATCCGTAAGACCCCACATAACGTTAATATTATTCGGTTTAAGTGGAAACGGTCAGACTCTCAGCTGATTTGACACCATTAAAAATTTATTGTCATATTTACGTAAACTTTTAAATAATAACAAAAATGCTATATAAATTAACTTCAGATCTTCATGGTAAAATTTAATATAAAATTTATTACCAACTGTTATAAAAAATATTACGTGGATTTACATCTACTTATCACTGGCTAATTGTATAAATTCAAAATATGTATAAGGAATACTTACGATGAAAAGTCAATCACTGTAGGTGGGACAGAATTGTTGACCTGAAAATAAACAATAATAATAATTAACAAATTAATTAAACAAATTCATCCAACGTGACTTCATTTTAACTATCCTCAATTGAGGAAATAAGTGCAGGGATAGAGAATATTGCATACAGGGAATAATTCAGAAATAAATGAGTACCTATACGTGCTGTATATTTCTCTCAATTGAGAATAGTTATTTAATAATAATAATAATTAGTACATAGTTTCAGTTACTAACGCTATAATTAAATTATGATAAATATAGTATAATTACTAATACGTCACATGCTACATATGTACCAAATAAAACTATGAACTGAAAACTGGAAAAGTGTTTCACGAAAAAGAATTTTAGTTTGTAACTTTTAAATTTTGTGGCTTATAATATGTGCTATACAAGGTATTTGCTATCTTTTTTTCATTCGAAGATTAAGGGAAACAATACACTCCGAACACTACATATAATGTATGTATATGCCGGTATACATTTAACAAAAAAAAAGTGATTCAATATTAAATTTACAGTGCAAAAGTGAAAGAACCCTGGAAAAAAGGTAAAAGTGTTTTAGTGTATTGTGGTGAATTAGTGTTTTATTTTACAATTTTGAAATGTGTGCTTAATTATTATAATAATGAACATTCTGTTATTGATTTCAAGGAGAACTATTTTGAATAGGTATTTCAAATAAGACCATAAATAACTACATTATAGAGTATTTTAGACATAAGAACATAACCTTTAAATGAATTCATAATAGACTTTACGTTTTAATGTCACTTTCTGAATCTATTTAGTTACAATTCACTGCATTATTGGGTTGCCATATACAGTCACGTCACACAGAATAGTAAATATTGTACCATAAATAAATAATTAATACAAATATAATGTAATTTTATAAAAAACGTGTATATTAAGTTTAAATTTGATGATTTTTAAAAATAAGCCTGTATATAGGTACATTAAAGGTGTGTTTACACTGAACAACAAATATTTGAGTTGTATTTTCTATTTGATTATCGTATTTCCTCTGCTCCGCTACCGTTTTAAGGTTGATTGATTTACGTGTTCATTGTGCGTAATATTTTTCTTTTTTTTCTTGTTAGTTATTTACATTACTAATTAACGGAGAATTTTGAATTTTCATTAACGCAGATACTCAAAAAATTCCACTCTATAATTCATGACTTATTGGTAGATTAAAACAGAACGCTCACAATATAACTAGTATTAAACTGGTATACAGGGTGTTTCAAAACAAATGCGAAAAACTTCAGGGGGTGATTCCTTGTTCAAAATAAAAGGTAGTTTGCTTTATAAACGTTGGGTCACAAGTCAACCATTAGGGAGATATCGCGGTACAAAGATGGCGGAAAAATAATGTTTTTATTTTTATCTTGAAAACGAAAAGCGATAGACTAATGAAATTTTATGAAAGCATTACTGTTATGAAAACACACTTTCTGGTAATTTTCTCACTTTTCTAAAATGAGTGGAAGGGGTTGAAATAAACTACCTCTATTATTCTTGTTAACGAAATTTAAAGAAAAATCTTGTCAAACACATGCAAAAAAATTAATTTGGATAGTTTAGTTTGTTTAGAAACTTTTTTATCTCTGGTATTTTTTTGATAAAACTCGCCGATTTGAAATTAAAAAATAAAATCTAAAGCAATACATGTCAGGACTTTTTTAAGCAATTAAATAGATCATAAAAATGCTTCGGAATAATTAACTGGAAATAATAATAATAATTGGAAATGATGATGATATAAAATGACAGCGATCTTTATTTCTAAGCCAACTGTGATTGAGTTTTTTTTGGTCGTAAAATTATGTGGTTGCAAATAAAATATCATCAATGAGTTTGAAGCAAAAAAGAAAACCCCTGTTTAGTTTTAAACTTAATAATTAGTGAAAATTGAGTGACTTATCGCCTTGCTACTTTATAAAATACTAGCGTGTACCCGCGACTACGTTCGCGTAAAATTAATCATTTGTAATGGTGATGATAAAGCAAAACAATAATTTCCAATAACGTACAAACTGGATAAAATTCTCTCACATTTATGTCAGCATGAGAAAAAACAATCGAAAAACCTCTCCTTATGGTACCTTTACACCGCACAGTCAATCCGTTTGCCAAAAATCAGCTTTAAACGTCATCAGTTTAAGCAGGATCGTGATTAATCAATGACCAGATTGTTCGAAGCACCCTGTATACATTTTTAAAAAATCTTAAAATATGTAAAAAACAAAATAAAATATACGTGTTTAAGCGTTTTTCCGGAAACTTGAACGTTTTCTAAATAAAAAATATTGTAATATTTGAGGGGTGGTTTCAACCCCTTGGAACTGGAATTTCGAAAAATCCCTTCTTATCGAACCTCTACACCCTAGAATCAACCTGTATGCCAAAATTGAGCTACTTATGTTGAGTGGTTTGAGCAGGATCGTGATTAATCAGTGAGTCAGTCACTTAAGGATTTTATATAATAGTATACATAGATTGTTTTATGCAGTAGTTTGTCCACAAAATTCGAAAATACATATAATAACTCTTCGAATTTGTCGGTTCGGTGGTTAAAATATAACCAATTCCATCGTATAATCGGTTATTCATCAACGGCAACAACAAAATTATAGGCACCGCAGTCCAATAATTGACCGCGGCACGAACCGCTGCTGGTCCATCAACACATAATCGTTTAAGTTGATCACTGGTAATAGTGTTTTCACCTGCTCAGCCTCTCGCAAACCGCTTAATATTATTATCACATTATTTCATAAAAAACACGCGATTAAATATAACTATAATTACCCTATAATAGATAATGAAGATTCTGGTATAATAATTAGATAATCAACTTAAAAATTTAAGCGATGAGACGACAAACGTTATATTCGCCGAAACCCGCTTTGTCCTTCACACATTTATTCATACGATAATATTAATTTCTGTCTATACATTTTCCATGATAGTCAAATATATTCCATACTAATTAAACATACACTGAAAAAAAGGATCTCTCAGTCGAAATGAATATGACTTTGACCCAAAAGATTGGCGCTTTTCAATAGGGCCAAGAACGACGTTTCTTTGCCCAAAGCATTAGCTATCTTTTCATAAGCTTTAAAAAATTACTTTAGAGAACAGAAGAATCTATCTGTCCAAAGTATTTCACTCTTGACCCAAAATTAATATGCAAAGAAGTTCTTGCTACAAGAACAATACTCTCTTTGATTCATGCAAAAATTCTTGATTGAAAAGGGACATTTCTTGATTAAAGAGATACTTTTCTTAAACCAATAACGAATACCATTGACTCAACTAAAATTTATTTTGATCTAAGAGAAGTCTATACATCATATACAGGCATATTACGAGGTATATTATTTTCTGATAAATTTAGGTTTTCCTGGTCTGTAGTAAGTAAAGTGATGTTATTTTTCTCGATAGTAGTTATTTCTGCTTCTTCACTTCTTGGTATTTTTGGGGGTTGTTCATCACTCTACAAATTACAAAAAAATGTTACATCACGATTAATCAAAGTAAAGCAAACAAATTATTGAAATTATAAGTTTTGGTCACATTTTGAATTTTTTAATACGACGACTTGAAATTCTAAAATTTTTGTAATTATTTGCAGAAAAAAATCGATACCTATATTCTTATTCTATCTATAGTCACGCATGCATTATCTAAACAAGTGCATTAGGTAAATGTCTCTTACCTTCAAATATAGCAAATAAATGCTCTAATTTCCATTTTTTCAGAAACTCCTTTAAAGAATCCATATATCCTAAAATTTGTCCATAAAAAATGACAAATGCATGTTAATAACGATCACTAATTTGTTATACGATATGCGTTTAAAAAGCAAATTATGCAAAATTCCAAGTGGAAAATTCCAAGCAACAAAACCCGTGCGTACTATGATGTGCCTATGAAATGCGACGTGCGACTGATCGGACTGCTGACTGATTGTATATACCGTCCTTCGTCATCGTCTTTGCGTTTCGTTATTATTTTTCATCAAAAGAGTATTTAGCTATTGGAAAAATGGCCATGTTTCTTGAATGAAGTACTTACTAGCGTATTTTTGTTATTATCTTAAAACAAAGTAACTTGCACTTGATTGAATGAAAATAGATTCAAGAGAAATTTTCGAATTTATCAAGAGAACAAGTTTTCTTGAGTTAAGAGAGTTTTTCTTCAGGCAAAATATTTTCTTTTACTCTAAAATAAATTCTCTTGCCACTAATTTTTTTTTCAAGAACGATAACGACTTTAGTTCAAGTCTATCTTTTTTATCAGTGTAGTCATCGAGGTCGCGATTTTTAAATTCATTGTTACCAACCATGGACGCTTCCTTGCAACCTTCCTCGCTGGGGATTCAGGTGATAGCTCTGCTGTAAAAAATGTCAAGTTCCCACATTTACTTATTTAGTTCCTGACATTGTCATTCAGTTTGACACTTTAGTTATGTATTACGAGTTTTTGGCTTAAATGAATTGTGGTGTGATAGTTTCAGCTTATTTTTTTTTACTAGCAGACCTTGCAGTCGAACATTGTTCTTTTTAGAACCTATCTTAGTGTGAAGTGGTACAAGATAGCTTAATAGCCGTAAAAAACTCATCGCATCCTTATTAGAATATTTTGAACGGGACAGCGGTAGTAATGGCCTTTGTGTCCTTTAAGTGCTGTTAAGAAGGTGAGTTTTGTTGATGTAAATAATAACTATTTATATATTTATAATTAATTTATTTTTGTTTCCTAAAATATTTTGATTAAAAGAAAATATGTAAAAGTGGGCAACGCTTAATCACGTGAGTAAAAGTTTATTTGATATGAATTATAAATAAGTCCCATTTTCTAGTGAATATTTCACGAATCAATAGAACGTTTAATTAGTTTTAATTAGAGGAAAATCACTTCTATACCTCGTTAACTTAACAATCCGCCCATCGTTTGGCTTACACGCCCAACGCCAACAAAAGAAAAACGAAAA